TGTCTTTGATCTTTCAAGCTGTTTAATGCCACTCAGCGGGTGTTGAATTGTTTCAGTCCAAAAGAACTTAAATAAAAATCGCCCATCCATAAAAAAAAAGTGTCTCACACGGCTCCGGGGGGTGAACAAAGGCCTTCTGTAGCAAATCGATGCGTTTTTGTAAGAAAAATATCCATATTCAAAACGTAATAATCACTTGAATCTAGCTTGTGCTCAATGTTGTAAACGGAAGCAGTTCCGGGGGAATGACGTATGAGGTCAGCTTTGCGCATGCTCCACTCAGAAGTGACGCACGCGGAGAGATCAAAACAAAACAACGGTCAAGAATTAGAAGTACAAAACGAGGATTTGTAAAGAAGAATGTCAGAGGATTTCGATATAAGCCAAGAGGAGACTGGTTTTCCATGGCTAAAGTAAGGAAACTTTGCTTCCTTTGATCCTGTAAACAAACGTTGGTTTTCACGGGACTCACCGGCGCATGCGCAAATTTGCATTGTAATGATTAAGATTTTGGTAACACTTTATTTTAAGGACCAATTCTCACTATTAACTAGCTGCTTATTAGCATTATTTACTTATTTTTATTTATTTTTTGCAAAGAATGGTGAAAATGAACTTAGTATGCATTGTATCTGATTGCAACATTCTTGGAAATTAAGAAGTACTTAAAAACAGAAGTGGTGGGTTTTATCTTCAGTGTCTCTGGTGGAAACCACATAAACGTGTGAATGTTTACACATCCTCTGACTTTATCACGACATAACCATTTCTCTCAAATGTCATTTACATTTGTATTACAGGAGAATCTGCCCAACATGGCAGACACTCGCCGTATGTTTTCTAGGTCACTGATGTTAATGCACTTAAGTGGATATACATTATTTTAGTCATATTTTCCAAAATTACTGTTAATTTCTTAAACTTAAAACTTGGACTTTTATCCAAACATCTTAGTGCACTTTTATCAGACCTTAACATAAACTGTTTATGGGCTGAAAAATGCTTGGACATTTTGTAATTTTCGATTTGTAATCTTTGGACTGGATATGAATTTTTGCAATTCTGAATAACTACTCCAAGACATCTAGTTGCATCTTCTAAACTCTCACTTTTCCCATCATGACAGAGCAAAAAAACTGATTTCACACCAACAAATCTTTCTAAACAAGTCACATGATCAGATTAACTGCAGACAACCTGCCCAGCAACAAAACGCAGCTGTCAATGACCTACACAAAGAAGATTTGTAAGAGAAGGAGAAGGTGGTGGTAAAACAAAAGTGAACAGCTCCTGCTAATGACGAATGAACAGATTGGTGAAAGCGGGGGCAGGGTTTCTGAAGGAACGTGAATGAGGTGTAAGGTGCATGATGGGAAAGCAGTGCAGCTGCTTATCTGTGTGTGTGGATAAAGATATTCAGCAACGAGTCCAAAACTTCAGGAATTTTCACACTATACTTATTCTATGGGTTACTAACTCAGGACTGTGTTTTATAGTAGTAAAAACAAACTTTCAAAAAATGCCTCAAGAAACATTCATGCACTTAGTATACAACTGATTTCCAGCAGACTTTTCCACAGGTCGACAAACTTATCAAAACAGACAGCTCGCTTATTGTGTGCTGTACTAACCATGTGTATATGCAAATGAGGATATTAACCAAGGGTTTACAAATGTAAATTGGGCCACAGTGTAATTCGGGCTCAAAATTAGGTGCTGCATTGCACTCACATTGAAACATATGAATGCACAGACTGAGAGCGCTCAGGTTTGTTTGTGTGCGTGTGTGTGTGTGTGTGTGTAAGGTAAAGCATTAGGGTGGAGCTGCTCACCTGAGGAGCTTCTGCGGACTCTGGGCCCGATGTGTTCTGTCCCATTTTACCTCAACGCACAGCTGGGCCATCAATGACAGGTACTGCAACACACAGCAAGACAACAGGCTTCATGCTAGAGCTGCACGATTATGACAAAAATCATAATTGTCGATTATTGTAATTGTAATTGCGATTATTAATTTACGGTTAAATGAATGTTTACACCTTTGTTTGAAGCAACTGCATGCCATATTTTTATATGAAAATAAACAAGCTGAAAACACTAATTTTATTGCTTTTCTATAGTATTAAGCCTCAAATGTCAACTATACATCGGATTGGTTTCACTTTAAATAAAAAGGTAAAAATATGCATGGTATTATAATGTTATACTCAAACTCAAATTAAAACAATGGAAAAACCCTTAAGATAACATGTAGAAAGAAAAAACACATCTTAAGCATGCAGAATAACATAAGTGGACTTTGAACGATTAATTGCTGCTTTGAACGATTACGTAATTGTGCCATCCATAATTGTGATTGTGATTAGAAATTCGAGTAATTGTGCAGCCCTACCTCATGCAACATGCACAGATCAGCATCACACACCCATTCGATAAGAAAAAAAAAAAATTCCCATGAACATATTCAGTTCAAGTCCATGCACATTACAGGGATCAGCTGGATTCATTTTATAATAAAAGCTTTTCAGCCACATTAAAATACAAAAATGTAATAATAGCTACAGTATAGCATGCAATTTGCTTAATAAAACATCACTTTTTTTACAGTGCTGTTATTGTTAAAACTATATCTACGTTTTATTAATTGAAACAAAGCTGAAATTAGGAATGCACCGAAATGAAAATTCTTGGCCGAAGCCGAACAAAATGAAACACTGGGCCGAAGGCCGAATACCGTTTTTCGAGTTTTTTTCCCCCGATGTATTTTGCCAATTTTTTTTCACCATTGCATAAATTAATTAGCCAAAATGTGCTTTTTACTGTTTTGCCTTTCTTTTCAAAGAAAAAATCAATTAAAAAAAAAAACAACAATTTAAAAATATTTAACACTGAACATTTTTTTTTACATTCTAGCAGACATTATACCAACAAAGCACAATTTAACTTAAAATTAATAAGTTAGTAAAATAATATTTTTTTGGCCATCAGACCCCCTTCTTGAATCAGGAATGTGTTTTTTTACTGTACAAACAAAAGCAGCCTTGCTGAGCAGAAGAGAATTATTTTAAAACATTAGAAAATATTACAGATTTTAACACTATGTGTGTATGTTATAATAAATGTATTAACAGAGCAGTTATAATTATTATTATCATTATATTGTCTTACGTTTTATTTTTTCAGAACAACAGTAAAATTACAATACTAACATTTATGAATGTTGATGGAGTTCTTGCTTTTTCTCAACTTTTATTTTGGTGGAAACGCGCAGGAAGACATCAATGCTTCTTTTTGTCGACAACAGCAGATTTATAAATGAGTCTCATTACGAATACGTCGCACGTATCGCATTGTCACATGCCTTGTAAAAATTCATAAAAATGTGTGAGCAACTGACGAGCAACCGTGTTTCAGCGCAGATTTTCGAACCCTGGTTAACAAACAGATCTGCTGCGCTGTCAGAATACATGCAATGCGTGCGATGTGCGTGTATTAGAAAACATAACGTTCTGCAGTTTATTTACTAATTGTTTATGGCCATTTCGCGATTTCAATCATCATACAGTAACCAGCAACAATCACCCCTTCCTCTTCTCATCGAAGACATGCAATGCAGTACTAAACAGTCTCTCGCTGTCGGTGCTTGTAATGATTTTTGCGTCTTTCTCCGACAGTTTAAATGCTTCCACACTGCTGACGTGTGCTGCATTATAAAGAGTGCGCAGGCTGCGCGCCTCTATTTGATCGCGTCATATCATTATTCGGTCCAATTTATTCGGTCTTTTCGCTTATTATTTCGGTTGCCGAATATTCGGTGCATTCCTAGCTGAAATAAATAAATAGAAGATAAAAAAACTTAAGCTTTAAAATCTTAAATGAAAATGAAAAAATTTTGCCTTGGCAACTAAACTTAAATAAAAGTTACCAAGTACAAAAATGACTAAAACTAAATGACAAAAGCACATTTACTAAATTGCTGAACACAATTTAACACAGTTACTAAAACTTAAACTGAAATTAAAATGAAAACTAAAAATATATGAATAAAAGCTATAAATGCTATAATAGTTAATTATGATGTAAATGTTAATGTAAATAGTTATAATGTAAATAATACTAAAATAACACCGCCAGCCCAGAAATGTTGCCTTGGCAACTAAAGTTGAAGTATTACAATTACTAAAACAAAAAATAATAGAAATAGAGAAAAAAAGACAAAAGCACTTAAAATTACTACAACTTTAACTAAAATGAAAAAGAAAACTGAAAATATAAGAATAAAAGCTATATACTATAAGTTAGGGCTGCACGAAAAAATCGAAATGGAATCGAGATCGTAATAAGTTAGTAAAATAATATTTTTTTGGCCATCAGACCCCCTTCTTGAATCAGGAATGTGTTTTTTTACTGTACAAACAAAAGCAGCCTTGCTGAGCAGAAGAGAATTATTTTAAAACATTAGAAAATATTACAGATTTTAACACTATGTGTGTATGTTATAATAAATGTATTAACAGAGCAGTTATAATTATTATTATCATTATATTGTCTTACGTTTTATTTTTTCAGAACAACAGTAAAATTACAATACTAACATTTATGAATGTTGATGGAGTTCTTGCTTTTTCTCAACTTTTATTTTGGTGGAAACGCGCAGGAAGACATCAATGCTTCTTTTTGTCGACAACAGCAGATTTATAAATGAGTCTCATTACGAATACGTCGCACGTATCGCATTGTCACATGCCTTGTAAAAATTCATAAAAATGTGTGAGCAACTGACGAGCAACCGTGTTTCAGCGCAGATTTTCGAACCCTGGTTAACAAACAGATCTGCTGCGCTGTCAGAATACATGCAATGCGTGCGATGTGCGTGTATTAGAAAACATAACGTTCTGCAGTTTATTTACTAATTGTTTATGGCCATTTCGCGATTTCAATCATCATACAGTAACCAGCAACAATCACCCCTTCCTCTTCTCATCGAAGACATGCAATGCAGTACTAAACAGTCTCTCGCTGTCGGTGCTTGTAATGATTTTTGCGTCTTTCTCCGACAGTTTAAATGCTTCCACACTGCTGACGTGTGCTGCATTATAAAGAGTGCGCAGGCTGCGCGCCTCTATTTGATCGCGTCATATCATTATTCGGTCCAATTTATTCGGTCTTTTCGCTTATTATTTCGGTTGCCGAATATTCGGTGCATTCCTAGCTGAAATAAATAAATAGAAGATAAAAAAACTTAAGCTTTAAAATCTTAAATGAAAATGAAAAAATTTTGCCTTGGCAACTAAACTTAAATAAAAGTTACCAAGTACAAAAATGACTAAAACTAAATGACAAAAGCACATTTACTAAATTGCTGAACACAATTTAACACAGTTACTAAAACTTAAACTGAAATTAAAATGAAAACTAAAAATATATGAATAAAAGCTATAAATGCTATAATAGTTAATTATGATGTAAATGTTAATGTAAATAGTTATAATGTAAATAATACTAAAATAACACCGCCAGCCCAGAAATGTTGCCTTGGCAACTAAAGTTGAAGTATTACAATTACTAAAACAAAAAATAATAGAAATAGAGAAAAAAAGACAAAAGCACTTAAAATTACTACAACTTTAACTAAAATGAAAAAGAAAACTGAAAATATAAGAATAAAAGCTATATACTATAAGTTAGGGCTGCACGAAAAAATCGAAATGGAATCGAGATCGCGATTCGACAGAAGCTGCGATTGTCATGCGTATCTTTCAGTGAAGCACGGTTCTGTGATCAGCAGTAAATCTCCATCCAAAGGTCAGAGGGCGCTCTCGCGCTGAAACTCCAAATATGCCTCGCAGAAGAAACCCAGAAAATGCCTATCGCTGCAGCTGAATAAACAGAAGATTCAACTGCTTTCATTGATTCAACGTGACTAATAAACGCACGACTACGGCAATATACGGTTTATCTGAGTTCTTATTATTATAATTTTCATTAAAATAAAGTATATTTATAATGCAATGCCTTTATCACTGCTTAAATACTATGAAATATGTTGCGTGCCTTATTCTGTGTAAGAAGCCACATCTCACAGAAGAATTTATTTCAAACACTCGACTGACGTTATGGAGTAAAAATATGTTATTAAATGTGGTAATTACGAATACGTCGCACGTATCGCATTGTCACATGCCTTGTAAAAATTCATAAAAATGTGTGAGCAACTGACGAGCAACCGTGTTTCAGCGCAGATTTTCGAACCCTGGTTAACAAACAGATCTGCTGCGCTGTCAGAATACATGCAATGCGTGCGATGTGCGTGTATTAGAAAACATAACGTTCTGCAGTTTATTTACTAATTGTTTATGGCCATTTCGCGATTTCAATCATCATACAGTAACCAGCAACAATCACCCCTTCCTCTTCTCATCGAAGACATGCAATGCAGTACTAAACAGTCTCTCGCTGTCGGTGCTTGTAATGATTTTTGCGTCCGACAGTTTAAATGCTTCCACACTGCTGACGTGTGCTGCATTATAAAGAGTGCGCAGGCTGCGCGCCTCTATTTGATCGCGTCATATCATTATTCGGTCCAATTTATTCGGTCTTTTCGCTTATTATTTCGGTTGCCGAATATTCGGTGCATTCCTAGCTGAAATAAATAAATAGAAGATAAAAAAACTTAAGCTTTAAAATCTTAAATGAAAATGAAAAAATTTTGCCTTGGCAACTAAACTTAAATAAAAGTTACCAAGTACAAAAATGACTAAAACTAAATGACAAAAGCACATTTACTAAATTGCTGAACACAATTTAACACAGTTACTAAAACTTAAACTGAAATTAAAATGAAAACTAAAAATATATGAATAAAAGCTATAAATGCTATAATAGTTAATTATGATGTAAATGTTAATGTAAATAGTTATAATGTAAATAATACTAAAATAACACCGCCAGCCCAGAAATGTTGCCTTGGCAACTAAAGTTGAAGTATTACAATTACTAAAACAAAAAATAATAGAAATAGAGAAAAAAAGACAAAAGCACTTAAAATTACTACAACTTTAACTAAAATGAAAAAGAAAACTGAAAATATAAGAATAAAAGCTATATACTATAAGTTAGGGCTGCACGAAAAAATCGAAATGGAATCGAGATCGCGATTCGACAGAAGCTGCGATTGTCATGCGTATCTTTCAGTGAAGCACGGTTCTGTGATCAGCAGTAAATCTCCATCCAAAGGTCAGAGGGCGCTCTCGCGCTGAAACTCCAAATATGCCTCGCAGAAGAAACCCAGAAAATGCCTATCGCTGCAGCTGAATAAACAGAAGATTCAACTGCTTTCATTGATTCAACGTGACTAATAAACGCACGACTACGGCAATATACGGTTTATCTGAGTTCTTATTATTATAATTTTCATTAAAATAAAGTATATTTATAATGCAATGCCTTTATCACTGCTTAAATACTATGAAATATGTTGCGTGCCTTATTCTGTGTAAGAAGCCACATCTCACAGAAGAATTTATTTCAAACACTCGACTGACGTTATGGAGTAAAAATATGTTATTAAATGTGGTATTTTCGCATGCTTTCAGATGGAGCAGCATTTACTTCACAGAGTCGTAGTTCACTGAGAAGCTATGCAAACAGCTGTCATTATCGCGAACGATTTCTTCGATTTCAGAATCGCGCAATAAAATCGTCTGCGATTTTTTTTGCGTAACTTGTCAGTGAACTACGGCTATGTGTAGTAAATTCTGCTCCATCTGAAAGCGCGTGATGATGATTTCCTGCTGACTACAGAACCGGCTTTTTTAACAAAATGCACATGACAATCGCATTCGATTAATCGTACAGCCCTACTATAAGTTATGTAAATAATACTAAAATAACACTGACATTTTATAATATCTTAACCTATATAAAAGTATTTTATAAATATTATTCTAACATTCAGTCCCTTAATGTGTACCATACAAACAAGTACAGCCAGTATTTTAAAAACTTTGCTGCCAGAAAAGATTCATTGTATTTGGCAAACAGAGAATATTTAAATATTGTTTTCATAATACTAATGTTAATGTAAACAGTGCTTAAAAACAGGTCAGTCAAAGATCACAATCAGCAGAGGAAACTATCCAATCACAACCCCTCCCCAAACTGATGTCATCATCCCTGACAGACTCCCAATAAAACACACACATACAGCATGAGTGATTTTCATTCTGATCTTCCCACCAATAACTTCATTGTTCCTTTCACATCCAGGGTTGCACAAGAAGACTGTGTACACTGAACCACACACACACTGATTTCGCTGACCTATGCAGCAAACAACACAAGCCCTTCACATTCAGTACACACATAAGCACGTTTATAGTGGGAGAGCCCAACCTCCAACAAAAACACATGCTCCTTTACATCTCCTATCTACACCTAAAAAACTGAGCACGAGTCCATCTAAAGCCATTCAGTGATGAAAACACAGTGTCTAGAGGCCAACAACTGAAATCATTGGGGGTGGAGAGAGGATTAGATTACTGAGATCACAGCAGACATAAAGAGATTCATCCACATCTGGATATGAGTGTGTATAAAATGCACTGGTAATGGCTGGAGATGCAAGCCAACTATGATAGATTTACTGTTTATACACATGAAAGAGACGTAGCGAGTGATTGTATCACATTCAGATTGATTATAGGCAGAGATAGCATTGACATTCAATAACATGCTATAGAATAACAAAAGAGGGAATGGAAACCACAGGGTAATGATGAAGGGGGGGCTGGAGGGAATCTGAAATTCCAGTATTCATTACTCACTAATGGGCACCTTCTAATAGCCATTGTCCTCAGTTAACAATGCTCTTATGCGCTCTTAAGCATGAGAGAAAAAGAAAAGACGCCCACACACACAGTTTTGTTTTAGAGCCCCCAACTGACAAATACAACACTTGACAATTCAACAAGAACCGTCAAAGCAGCAATGCAGAGTCCTTCACGATATTAGCATGTTCAGCGGTTCAGACATGCTTAAACACAATGTGAACATCTCTGATTTCAAATTTTATGCATACAGATGTCGCTGCACCACAGAGACAACTCATGCATGACTTTGATGGAAACAACAGCTACTACTTTCCATGAGTCCAAAATAGTCCCTGAAACTCTTTAAAATGTTAACTTTTTTCTTTTCAATAAATAGTCAGTGAAAGGAGGTGCTTAAAGGGACAGTCCACCCAAAAATGAAAATTCTGTCATTATTTATTCACCCTTTAGTTGTTCCAAACTTGTATGAGTTTCTAGGGCTGCACGATTAATCGAATGCGATTGTCCTGCGCATTTTGATAGTAATGCCGGTTCTGTAATCAGCAGGAAATCATCATCACATGCTTTCAGATGGAGCAGAATTTACTACACATAGCCGTAGTTCACTGACAAGTTACGCAAAAAAAAAAAGTTGTTTTACAGCTGTTTGCATAGCTTCTCAGTGAACTATGGCTCTGCTCCATCTGAAAGCATGTAAAAATACCACATTTAATAACATGTTTTTACTCCAAACTCACTTCATAACGTCAGTCGAGTGTTTGAAATAAATCCTTCTGTGAGATGATGTGGCTTCTTACACAGGCAAAAGAAGATATTTTGAAAAATATTGGTAACCAAACAGTTTCTGGTCCCCATTGCCGTCCATAGTATTTTTTTTTCTCCATATAATGGAAGTCAGTAAGGATCGGCAACTCTTTGGTTACCAGCCTTGTTCAAAGTATATTCTTTTATGTTCAGCAGAAGATAGAAGAAGGGTGAGTAAATGATGACAGAATTTTCATTTTCACGTGAACTATTCCTTTAATCTTCAAAAAGGTTACCAGTTGCCAACTTTGGCAACCTAAAAAAAAAATCAACAACCTAAAATGTTCAGCCAAAACAGCGAGAAAAAAACTAAAACGTTCATTTTGATTTTGGTGTCTCTGTAAAAAAAAAAATGCTTGAATGGCTGACCAGACAAAAAATAGTCTGTCCTGTCCTTAAAAGCGGGACTTATATTTTTGTTATTCAAATTAGCTAATCTAACATCAATTCAGCATATTATGACAAAATTGTGAGAGTATGATTTTAATAAACAACAGATACAGTCAAGAAGGCCAAGCTGTCTAAGGTGGGATGGACCACAGACCACCATTTCAACGAATGATGCAGACATTTGGTGTCTTTAAAACTAGCTACATTCATTTTATAAATACTTTGTCTAACTTATCTAATGGTAAATGGACAGCAAGCCAAATTAGTACCTTGGCTCAGTAATGGGACACTAAAGTGCCCTCTTGACCAGCATACAGATCTTTGTATCTTCCACTGCCCAAAGACTATCACATGCTGTAGCCACAAGCTGCTAAAGCACATTATACCCGAGAATCCAGAATCCATGAAACATCATTTATGCTGATCACCACCACTATGTGATTGATATGCACGCAGCACACCTCATGAGCTGCTGGTAGTTATACTGAAAGAGCATCCCATGGACGTCTCAGCTGATCATGGGTTCAAACATGTCAGCAAACAAGCCCAGATGACAGCTAAACCAATATGCATTAAAAAATAAAATCCATATCTGTCCGTTATTGAAGGCCATGACTCATCCGATGTTTTCTCTCTGTACTCGGTGCTGTAAAGTGATCCGGCCGGCGGGCTGCTGTTGGCGGTGATGCTGTGCGGTGACCTCCGCAGATCAACACAACGCACCATCTACGACCTCAACCGGGAAACACTCACGGTACACACACTCTAAACTAACACCAAATATACACTGTTCTCTCACATAATCAAGATAACCAGTAAACAGTACATAATGTTTGGATGATAACCATACCTGAAAGCGACGCTCCGTCCTGATCTGTCAAACAACGGTCATAACCGGAAAGATCCGCTCAGAGCTCTGCGTAGGCTCCGCCCAGTTAGTGCAACAACCAATCAGAGATGACAAACCGACCAATCAGATTTCAGACCATTTTCTTTTACGGATTCCCTCCCCCGTTGTTGTTGTTTTTTACAAAACATTCTTATTCTTTAACTTACTGACATAAATTCATGACATAGTTTATGTGTTTTATGATTTAGTCATTGCAGAAACACATGACATTTTTATTTATTTAAAAAGTTAAGATTTTATTAGCCTATTTGCAGCTTTTTAGACTGTACAAACCATACCACATGACTTACTGAGTCTTCTATTGAAGAAATATGATTAACTAATATACAATTTTAACTCACGGTTGTAATATTGACAACATATGGTGTGAAGTAATAAGGTCAAAGTAGCTATTCAGGAACCATCCTAGATATAAGCAAGCTTATAGAAAAGCAAAATCTAAATGTAAGGTAATATATCACTAACTCTGATCTATGCGAGGAACCGAGCTTAGATAAGAGCAGTTTGTTTCAAGGAAGATCAAATTCTCTGAATAAGTCAGATATTAATTTAAGGGGACGCGGGTACGATACGAGTTAACTGATCAAAATGCACATCATTTACCAAAATGCTTTCATGCTGATTGAATTTAGTAATTTCGTAAACTCATTCTGAAGCTCAATCATTAACCACCTGGAGAGAAGTAACGGATTTTGTAGTGATTAGGGATGGCCGTATCCTAAGTATCGATATATCGATAAAAATATCGATACTAAGGTGTGTTTTATTTACCAGTGATTTTGTTTATTTAAAATAATAATAATGCGTACAAATGCATTGAATTGGACGAATAACCTTTGTTCGCAAGTAATTGTGTAGGATATAATTATTTTCCTGCTCATCTGAACACACGCAAATGTTACAGGACAGAACCAATCAATCACAGAGAGCATTCACTCACTGCTGACAGTGCATTCAAACAGGGCTGCGTTTCCCAAAAGTATCATAAGAAAGCTTTAATTATGGGGGTAGAATTGTTGCTTAATTCCAAATAAATAGATTATGATCCACAAATAAATAGAATGAGATCCACAAATAAATCTTAAAGTTTCACAAACATGAATTAAATTCACAAATAAATAAAATGAGATTTGCAAATAAAAAACATATTCACAAATATATATATATATGTCACAACCACAACTTTGCCTGGCATTTATTTGTGAATCGCGTCATGTGCATTTGTAGATAGCTGCTCGCATTTGTGAATCGCGTTCTGTGCATTTGTAGATAGCTGCTCGCATTTGTGAATCGCGTTCTGTGCATTTGCGAATCGTGAAACATTTCTTCCGTCAAGACGTGCTGACAATCCACAAATATTTATTTATTTTCTGCTCCCATATCTTGAATTTTGTGATCATTCGAAATGTATTTTCATAAACTGAATCATACAGTGAAAGAAAGCACTGTAAATGTACACACGCACTAGTCTAACCTACTACACTTCATCACACACTGTTTCTCTGGCATTTTCAAAGGCACGTA